GCAGAAACGGGCGACTGCTCCGCAGACCGCGACGTGGTCGCCTTTGAGGTCGGCCGGAGTGGCATGGACCTCCCAGAGCTTCTCGTCGTTCTGCTGGCGCTGGTAAGCCTCCCGCGCCTCCTGGAAAGTCAGGTTGTCGTCGCCGACTACAAGCAGAACGACTGGCACGTGCGGCTCCGAAGCATTGAGAATCTGAGCCATGCAGTCCAGGTGCAAGCGGAGATGGCGAACTGTCCGCTTTCGAGTCTGGATGGTCGGCGGTTTCTTGCCGCACACGATGTGCATGTTGGCGATCACCACGTGGAACTTGTCATGGCCTGGTTTGTTCACCTCAAAATGTGAAATAACAGCATCAATCTCTCGGCCGCTAGGAGGCCTGTAAACTTTGCTGTCTTCGCACAGAGTCAGTTCCGCAGGCTGAGAAGCACCGCGGAACCCCCAGAGAGTCAAGTAGTTGTCGACCTCCGAGAAGCGAATGCCATCACCGAAAGGCTTACTGAGGATCTCTGTCACGTTGATCCCTGCTCGGCGAAAGCCTTCACGGAACGCACCGACCTCGCAGCCACAGACAATATCAGCATCAGCGGTCTCCACTATCGTGGCGCACACCCTTCCGAAGTTAGCGCAGTGAGTGGCCGCCTGCTTACCAGTCATCATGCCCTGCTCGAACCCGAAATTGAACGAGGCGACCGTGAAAGACGCAGGCTGCACAGCGCCAGAACCAGGCGTCTGTCCACCTTCCTCCGCAGGCTGAGAAGCACCGCGAGGCGGCGCAGGCTGAGAAGCACCGCGAGGCGGCGACACTTCGGACGAGCCTCGCGGAGCAGAGGCTGCGGATGAACGTTGGATATGGGGGTACGGCCAGGGGAACGCCATTGCAATCGAAACTCAGTGGACTGCAGTGAGTGAATGCAGTGGCACGATTGAATGCAGTGGACTGCAGTGTCACTAGCAATTCCTGAACCAAACACGGCTGTGGCGGAAGGACTACGAAGCGTCTGGCTATTCAAAATGTGGCCCGGGAATGTAGTTCTGGGAACTCGAAGACCAGGAAGTGGCCTACAGTTGGCTCCGGGCATCCAAAATGTGGCCCGGGAATGGAATTCTGGGAACTCGAAGAGCACGAAGTGTGTGACTGTTGCATCCGGGCCTCCAGAATGTGGCCCGGGAATGGCGTTCTGGGATGTCGAAGAGCACGAAGTGTGTGACTGTTGCATCCGGTTATTCTAAATGTGGCCCGGGAATGGCGTTCTGGGATCTCGAAGAGCACGAAGTGTGTGACTGTTGCATCCGGGTATTGAGAATGTGGCCTGGGAATGGAGTTCTGGGAAGTCGAAGAGCACGAAGTGTGTGACTGTTTGTGAAAAGCGAGCCCGGCACCTGCCGCCCGGCAACTCCCAACACCTGCCCGGACCCCCCTGTGCAGTGATCTGCTGCTCTCTTTTGATCCCACTAGAAACCTATCAGTCTTCGCTGTTAGGTAAATATGTATATACATTGGCTGCATAGTTTGAGCTGTACACTCCATGCGGACCAACCTGCAGGGTACATCCAATATGTGCAAGTAATGTTCAAAAGGATTCGAGCTGTCAGCTTCCATGCGCGAGCACATATCCCACCCTTTCTTCTGCCATTTCTTTGCGCAGTTCACCTATCGCAACGCCGCGAGGACCCTTATCAGGCAGATCCATGAGTTCGGCAGCGAGGGATGATGGTGACAACGGCATCGGCGACGGCGACGGCGACAACGACGACGATGTTGATGACGGTGACGATGACAGTGATGCTGCTGATGATCATGCTGATGATGCTGATGCTGATGATGATAATGGCAATTGTAGTGGTGGTGGTGATGTCGAGGGCAATGTCAACGACGATGACGATGGCGATGACGATGATATTGACAACGGTGGTGGTGACGACGGTGGTGGTGATGGAAGGTGATGCTCGTGGTGATGGCGATGGCAATGAGTACGCTGCCGATCATTACGACGATGTTTCTGATCAGGATGCGGTGGTCGTGTGAGCGTGGATAACATCCCACACATCTGATTGAACAGCAATTGTTGTCACATGTTTTTGAGCAACCTCGTGGCGGTATGCTTTTAGCAATGCTTTCGACGTGGCGCGCGCGGGGGAACGCTCGTGCTTGGCCGCATGCTATTTCGTTGACAGCTTGGGTGGGTCCGCGATGACCGTTGGATGATTCCGACACGCGTGCGTGTGGCCCGCACGGTTTCACTTTACATCATGGCAAACCGTTTTGGTTCTCTTACGTCGAAGGCGGATCGACCTCCTACCCTGACACGTCGATTGGGGAATTGGCCGTTTTCGGTTCGCGAGAGGGCGTCGCGGCCGTCATGTTTGCGGGTCCAAGTGTGTCGGTTTCGGTCCCAAGCCGTTTTCATTAATGGGAGGTTTGCTAAAGGGAGGTTTGCCCACCGCCGTATTTCAGCGAACGCGCGACAGAAGTATGGCATTTGAGAACCTGGAGAACGTGCACGTTTTGTTAGTCTCCATTGAGCTTCGACTTTATCGCTGCGCTCATTCCGCCGGCCCTGGAGCGCTCTGTGGGGCCTCTTGTGGGCCTCTCGGGTGCCTCTTGGGACTCCTTGCCGGCGTCTTGTTGGCCCCTGGGGCCTCTTGGGGGGCTCTTGGGGGCCTCTTGGGGCGGGAGGGGGGGGTAGTCGATTGCGGCTCCCCCTCTCAGAGGCCACGATCCTCGTGAAGTGTGTCGAGAAATGGCCCTCTCCTGGGGCGTTCTGGGGGGATCGCTCGGAAGTGGCCCGGGGGTGGACCAGGACCTGGCCGGGGTACTTTTTCGTCTGGGGGCCCCCAGGGGCCGCCGCGCGCGCGAATTAGAAATATTGTTAACCAGTTACCGGAGATCTTAGCACACCTCTGGCCCGTTGGGCCGGCGAATTTAATCGCTTCGCTCACTCCGCCGGCCCGTGTTGTGCCATCGCAGGCGTTTTCCTGCGCGTTCGTGGCCTCTTGGAGGCCGTTTGTGGGCCTCTTGGAGCCTCTTTTGGGCTTCTTAGCGGTATTTCTGGGACCTCCTGGGGCGTCATGGGGGTTTCTTGGGGGTCTCTTGGGGTCTCTCGGGGCCTCTTGGGGGCTTCCTCCCGGCTTGTTTTCGGAGCCTATTGGCTTCCCCCGAGGCCGTTTTCGGTGGCTGTTGGGGCCCTCCAGGGGTCGTCTAGGATTTCTTGCATCCCCTGTGTTATTTAAGTTGTCCTCTTCTGCCTCCACCAAGCCTCCCGCAGTCTGCTCGCGGCCTTCACGCCGAGCATTTTTTGTTTCATCGCAGTGACACGTTCCGGACATGTGGGGCGGCGTCGTTTGACTCCTCACAGGGTGTTCGCTTGAGTGCGGTTGGATAGGGAGCCAGATGCGAACCCCACCCTCCCCCTCAGAAATCGTAGGGGGTAGGGGTAGGGTTCGCGTCTGGCCCCCTATTGGACGCCCCCCAGGGGCTCCTCAGACCAGAGGCCTTTCTGGGAGCCCAAAGCTGTTGTATTTTTTCGTTTGTTCCGTGCCCCCCTGTCTGCCTCATCCGTCGGTCCCGACCTCTCTGGAGACCCTCTGGGCTTATTCTTGGCGCCTCTCGGGCACCCCGTTCTTGTGGCTGGGGTAGGCCCCCCTTTGGTCGCCTCGGACCCCTGTGACACCCTGTGCGATTCAAGCTGCCTCCTTCTTCCTCCACCAAACCTCCCAGTCCATTCGCTGTCTTTGCGCCTCGCCACTTTTTCATCAAAGCGACCACGTACCACACATGTGGGGCGGCGGTGCCTTCCACCTGGGGGTGGCGCTTGCTAAATACAGCTGGCCATTTGCGGGTCTCAACCATGGTGGCCAGCCGCTAGATTGCGGGCTCGATTATTGGATGCTAGTCTGCTAATTGGTCGTTTCGGGGGGAGGGGTCGTACGGGAGGCGGGTGCGACGCGCATTCCGCAGGGCATCCTTGCGTAAGTACCTCCTCATGGGGCACGTAATGAACAAATCGTCAGATCCGCACTCTTCGGTGCCAATATCCATCGTAAGGCAGCAGTTGGTATGGCCTTGAGGGCCCCTCATTGCCCCAACGCGGCTTCGCGAGAGTTGCAGACGGCCATTTGACCATTCAAAACGGTCCCCAGACCCGAAGGGCCGCCAACATGGCTCCAAGAGGACCAAACAGGACCAGAGCTGGCTCTTGGATGGTCGCATGGAGCCCCAAGATGGTTCGAGGATGGTCCCAGCCATGTCTCAGGATGCCCCCCCCGAGTACCTGGGAGGATCCCGAAAGATTTCTGAGAAGGTCCGGGAGACCCGAGATGGCCCCAGCATTGGCCCAGAACCTTCCACCTGGCCTCCAAGACACCGCAAGATAGTCCCAGAACGGCCCAACGCAATTCCAAGACGGCGCCAAGACCTCCCCATTACCGAGGCGATGCTCAAACACGCCCAGGCAAACCCCGAGCAGGCGCGAAACCTGCCCCAAGAGCGTCTGAAGGCCTTCGTGTGAACCATCACATCTTCGTAGTTTTGCGTGCTCGTTTTCCAGCGGGGCCCGCAGCGAAGGCATGCATTTCAGCGAGCCGAGAATACATGTTGGATGTTCGATGTGGGTGGGTGGTCTAGATTCGCGGGTCGGGCCTTTGAATTTTCTGCGAGTCAAAGCCACATTCAAGTTTGACGTTCTTTCCCGCACTCTGGTCTCCTCTCCCCGCATCCCCTCTTACCCTCTCCCCTGCCGTCCTCCCAGCCCCCTTCTGCATTATCCGCAGCCCGCACCCTTGGTCCCTCCTCTCAGCTCTTCCCGACCACCGTCTCCTCCCTTGCCCTCCCGTTTCCAATCTCGGTCCGCAACCTGGATTTGCCGCCCGCTACTGCTCAATCATTTCTTGGCGGCTGATTGAAAAACAGACCACCTGGCCCTGGCAAGCGCGCGCCTTGTTTAGTATTGTTGTCAGGGTTTTTTTGGACTGTTCTGATGATTCCCATCTTTGCTTCCGATCGACCGATGGAGCAAGTCGGCAACAACTGTTCGATTCGTGCGCGGAGATCGCTGCGCTGGGTAACATCTCACCCCGCTTCTCTGGCGGCGGCACGGATACGACATTGATGCATATTTCAGAGCTATCCAGGCAAGAAGCGTGTCAGATACTTCACTGGTCAGCATGAAACTTACACAAAGCTACTTCACAGTAACTCTTGCTCCTCACCTGGGGTGTCGTCATCAATCGAGCATTGCGCAGCATCTAGTGCAAGAGTCCGTACCCTCTCGATGCTTAGCCTGCCGTTGCAGACCCCGGATCTAATAGGAAAAGCAGCAGGCTATTTGAGGATGCCATGGGTTTCTCACATGTGGCCACCACCGCCATTCCAATCGCCGCAGCCTGCAGAAGCGATCAGGGCATTGGCAGGCATGGCTGCCATGCGCTGTCTTGCGTGGAAAGCAGTGGCACTTCCCAGGGGCGCCGGCTGCCGTTTTGACACTAGTACCTCGAGCAATTGCATGGACCATTGGACGGTTGAACCACTGTTTTGGAGGTCATTTAGCTGCCGTCATCGCTCCCTATTTTCTTGCGATTGGTTCGACGAACGATTCATAGGAGGCTCTCAATTTGTTGACGCTTCGCGTATCAACACCAGTTGGTGTTGATACGCTCATCCCCCCACACAGTGCCCCTGGCACAGTGTTCATCCCCCCCTACGTGCGCGATGACAGATTTTGCAAGTTGCAACAAGGCGCCAGCTATAATTGCGACGATTGCCCCAACGCGGGGATGCAACATCCAAGAAAAGCGAGACACAGCCAAGCGCTGCCTCCCGGCGCTACGGAGAGGCCAAACGCCTCGCTTCGCCCGCGCGCCTTGGCCCCGAAGTCTAGTCCCATTTGCACAACGCCTCGCCGTCGGCACTGATCCAGCGGTCGTAGGTGAACAGCGGGTTCGTGAGGTTGCCGTGGTGCATCCCCCCCCCCGGGTTCCCACGCTGCTTGCAGAAGCCGTATTTGTGCCATCGCGGAATCTCGCCGCTGCCCTGATAAAAACAATTCGTAGCGGGATATTCCATCAAATATCCCAAACGCTCCTGTCCGAACGCGTTCGCGGCCCACATGAACATCATGTGGAAAGTGTCCCAATATGCCTGCCCCGGTTTGACTGCCCCCATCTGCTCGCTATTCCACTTGTCTTTCAAGTCCGGGATCAAATTGCCCCCCACTAGATGAATCTGGTCCGCGATTTCGCGATTCACGCAAGATTGGAACAAGTTCCACTGGAAATAGAACATGTCGGGGGACACAGCGCGTTCAAAGCTCAAACTCTCCTTAAAGACCAGGTCTGGCCGCAGGATGAGCGCGAACCTGGCGTCGTTGGGCACGTCAGCCAGGCAGGCCCTGTACTGGCCCTGCTGCAGGGGCTGCTCTGCCTTGCTCAGCTCCCGCAAGCTGACGTCGCCGATCGCGGCCCCGAAATACTTTTCGGCGCTCGCCACGAGTCGACGGTTCGCCCCGTGGGGGCGAACGCAGAGGTGCACGTGCACCGAGTTCAAAGCGTACGCCCTCTTCAGGGGTTCCACCACGTGGCGCCTGATTGAACAGAGCGCCACCTCCTGCGCGTCGGCCGAGCTGCGAAATGTTGCCCCTCGGAACACGATCCACGGCTTCTGCGAGAACGTGACGTGTTTTCCGCCAGAAACCTTGAACTTAGGAATCCTCCAGCTTTCCTCGTTGCAGTTCGCCTTCGGAGGGAAAACTACTCGCTGTTCGAATGGTTCGTCCATTTCAACTTCTTGCCCTATGGGTTCGCACGAATTCTTCAACTTGCTGTCCTCTGTTTCCGTCTGGGACAGACTGACTGCGGAAAGTCCACGGACAGGCCGGAGCACCACCAGTGACAGCCATAGGAACCGCATGATCAACAAAACAGCACTGCGATTGTATAAGGTACGAGGCCCTGCTTCGGAAGCAAAGTATCTGCCACGCGTGTAAACTAAGTGCGATTGCAACATTGAGCCCAACCGAATTGAGCGCACTGCGGGATCAACTATTGGACGAGTACGGCCCCAACGTGGGCCCCAAAGCGCGGCCCAAACCGGCCTCGATTCCTGCCGGCCTCAGGCCCAACTTGGCCCCTTTTGATGTCCTTTTCGTGGCCCGCTTCGGCCCTTGTTGGCGCTCATTAGGCCGTCCGTCTTTGGGCCGTTTGGGGTTCATTGTGGGCCAAGGTCCAGAGAGCTAACGTCCATGTGACTGATCCGTTGGAAATTGGTGACGAGCATCGATCAGCCACCCAACATACCTGAGCCTACTCGGAAAATGGAGCGCAAGAGGATTGCATGATACCGTAGAAGCAACCCAATCAATCAAAGTCTCTTTAAGGCTATAGGGTTATGGTGCTATTGGGCTATAGGGCGATGGGGCTACAGGGCTGTAGGGCTATGGAACTATGAGGCTATAGAGCCATAGGGCTGCACGTCTATAGGGCTATAGGGCTATAGGGCCACCCACAGGGCTATAGGGCTGTAGCGCTATAGGGTTATTGGGCTATGGGGTTCCGAGGCTCTGGGGCTATAGGGCTATGAATGTATAGGGCTATGGGGCTAGAGGACCATAGGGATATGGGGGTATAGGGATATAAGGCTATGGGGCTATAGGCATGTAAAGCTATAGGGCTATAGGGCTATAGAGCTATACGGCTATAAGGCAATAAGGCTATAGGGCTATAGGGCTATAGAGCTATACGGTTCCCCCATCCTCCTCCTCCTCCTCCGCCTCCGCCCCCTCGTCCTCCTCCTCTTCCTCCTCCTCCTCCTCCTCCTCCCCTCCATCATCATCATCATCATCATCATCATCATCGTCATCAGCATCACCATCATCATCATTATCATCAGCATCATCATCATCGTCATCATCATCATCATCATCATGATCCCTCTTCCCTCCTCCTCCCCCCGTCCCCCTTCTCTCTCCACCCCCCTTCTCCCCCCCTCGTCCTCCTCTTCTTCCTCCTACTTCCTCCCCGTCCATCCCCTCTTCCTCCTTTCCTTTTCCTCCTCCTCCACATCATCATTCAATCGTCATTCATCAGCATCTAATGATCATGATCATGATCATGATCATGATCGTCATCATCATCATCATCATCATCATCATCATCATTATCATCATCATATCATCATCATCATCATCATCGTTCATCATATCAGCATCTCATAATGATCCCTCTTCCCTCCTCCTCCCCCCGTCCTCCCCCTTCTATCGCCACACCCCCTCCTCCCCCTTTCGTCCTCCTAGTCTCCCTCCTCCTCCTATCCATCCCCGATCCCTTCCTCCCCCCCCTCCTCCTCCACCGCCTCCACGTGCAAGAAATCCAACAACATGTCGCGGAAATCAACGAACTGTGTCCTTCCGGGTTTTTTTCGAGCGTCCTTTTAAGACTTGTCGGGGCCGTCTTAGGGCCCCCATTGGGCGTCCTGGGAACCCCGAAATCATGTTCCGATAGAAGCTTCGGGGAACATGATTTCGGACGCTGCGGAAGAGGCCTCCCGAGAATCTCTATAGGCAGCTCTGCTTGCCCCCGCTGTGGCTTTGTTGGGTGCCTTTTGGGGCTCTCTTGGGCTGGCTTGTAGCTATCATGGATCATATTGGGTCCCTCTTGGGCCGTCTTGGGGCCCCTCGGGGTGGCACTGCGAAGACGTCGTCGTCGTCGCCGTTCGCCGATCGGCGGCGTCAACTGTTGTCATCGTCGTCCATCGTCGTCGTCGTCGTCGGTCGTCGCCGTCGACGACCGTCGTCGTCATCGTCAATCACCGTCGCCGATCACCGTCGCCGATCGTCGATCGGCCCCGAGCCCTCCCGCCCACTCATCCTCCTCTCCTCCTCCTCCTCCTCCTCCTCTCCTCCTCCTCCTCCTCCTCCTTCTCCCCCTCCTCCTCCACCTCCTCCTAATATGACTTCCTCCTCTCCTCCTCCTCCTCCTGAAATCATGTTCCCGGAGACGCTTCCGGGGACAGGATTTCGAACGATGCAGAAAAGACTGGGTCCAGGGTGGCTCTGCGCACGCGGACAGCGTCGCCGCCGTCGGCGTGGCCGTCGTCGTCGTCGCCGTCGTTCGTCGATCAGCGAAGTCGACTGTTGTCATCGTCTTCTATCGTCGTCGTCGTCGGTCGTCGGTCGTCGGTCGTCGGTCGTCGACCGTCGTCGTCGTCGTCGTCGTCGTCGTCGTCGTCGTCCTCGTCGTCGTCGTCAATAACCGTCGCCGGTCGTCGTCGCCGATCGTCGATCGCCCTCGAGCCTCCTCCTCTCTCCCCCCCTCCTCCCTCCACTCCTCCTCCCCGCCTCCTCCTCCTTCTCCTCTTCCTTCTCCTCCTCCTCCTCCTCCTCCTCCTTCGCCCTCTCCGTCTCCTCCGCGCGGAAGAAATCCAACAACATCTCGCGCAAATCAATGAACTGTGGCCCTCCGGGCCTTTTTGAACGTCCATTTAAGGCCTTTCGGGGCCGTCTTAGGGCCCTCTTGGGCGTCCTGGGAACCAGGAAATCATGTTCCCGGAGAGGCTTCTGGGAATATGATTTCGAACGAGGCCCTCTTGGGCCTCCCTGAGGCCGTGTTGGGAGCCTCCTGGGCCAACTTTGGGGCCTCTTGGGCCGTCTTGGGGGTTCCGTGAGCCTCACAGGACGACCCTTTTGGGCCGTCTTGGGCCCTCTTGGGTCTCTCTTGGGCTGTCTTGGGGCTCGGGGGCGTCTGGGGCACTGTGAGGACCAAGCAAGCAAGTATGCTGAAAACGTACGTTGTACAACGGGAGTGGGCCGATTTTTGCCTCTTGAAGGCCCTCTTCGGCCAGCTTCAAACCATCTCGGGCCCTCTTGAGGCGCTCTTGGACGTCTTGGGGCCCTCTTGGGCCTCGCTGAGGCTGTCGGACAGCGTCGCCGCCGTCGGCGTGGCCGTCGTCGTCGTCGCCGTCGATCATCGATCGGCGGCGTCGACTGTTGTCATCGTCGTCGATCGTCATCGGTCGTCGTCGTGGTCGTCGTCGTCGTCGTCGTGAATCACCGTCGCTGGTCGTCGTCTCCGATCGTCGATCGCCCTCGAGCCTCCTCCTCCTCTCTCCCCCCCTCCTCCCCTCCACTCCTCCTCCCCGCCTCGTCCTTCTCATTTTCCTCTTTTTCCTCCCCCTCCTCCTCCTCCTCCTCCTCCTCCTCCTCCTCCTCCTTCGCCCTCTCCGTCTCCTCCGCGTGGAGAAATCCAACAACATGTCACGAAAATCAACGAACTATGGCCCTCTGGGATTTTTTGAATGTCATTTTGGGCCCTTTGGGGCCGTCCTGGGGCCATCTTGGGCGCCATGGGAACCCGGAAATCATGCTCCCGGAGAAAATTCTGGGAACATGATTTCGAACGAGGCCCTCTTGGGCCTCCGTGAGGCCGTCTTGGAGGCCTCCTGGGCCGGCTTTGGGGCCTCTGAGGCCGTCTTGGGCTGTCTTGGGGCCCCTCGGGGGCCACTCTGAGGACGAAGCAAGCGAGTATGCTGAAATTGTACGTTTTACACGAGTAATGGATAAAGTTTTGCCTCTTGAAGGCCCTCTTGGGGCCCTCTTCGGCCATCTTCAAGCCATCTCGGGCCCTCTTGAGGCGTTCTTGGACGTCTTGGGGCCCTCTGGGGCCTCGATGAGGCTGTCTTGTGTGCCTCTTGGGCTGTCACGCGGGCAGCGTCGCCGCCGTCGGCGTGGCCATCGTCGTCGCCGTCGTCGTCGGGGCCGTCGATCGTCGAGTCGTCGGTCGTCGACCGTCGTCGATCGTCGTCGTCGTCGTCGTCATCGTTGTCGTCGTCGTCGTCGTCGTCGTCGTCAATCACCGTCGCCGGTCGTCGTCGCCGATCGTCGATCGCCCTCGAGCCTCCTCCTCTCTCCCCCCCTCCTCCCCTCCACTCCTCCTCCCTGCCTCCTCCTCCTTCTCCTCTTCCTCCTCCTCCTCCTCCTCCTCCTCCTCCTTCGCCCTCTCCGTCTCCTCCGCGCGGAAGAAATCCAACAACATCTCACGCAAACCAACGAACTGTGGCCATCCGGGCCTTTTTGAAGGTCCTTTTAGGGCCTTTTGGGCCGTCTTAGGGCCCTCTTGGGCGTCGTGGGAACCAGGAAATCATGTTCCCGGAGAGGCTTCTGGGAACATGATTTCGAACGAGGCCCTCTTGGGCCTTCCTGAGGCCGTCTTGGGGGCCTCCTGGGCCGGCTTTGGGGCCTCTTGGGCCGTCTTTGGGGGGTTCCGTGATCCTCACAGGACGACCCGTTTGGGCCGTCGTGGGCCCTCTTGGGTCTCTCTTGGGCTGTCTTGGGGCTCGGGGGCGTCTGGGGCACTGTGAGGACCAAGCAAACGAGTATGCTGAAAATGCATGCTTTACGAATGGGAATGGGCCGGTGTTTGCCTCTTGAAGACCCTCTTGGGGCCCTCTTCGGCCATCTTCAAGCCATCTCGGGCGCTGTTGGGGCGCTCTTGAGCGTCTTGGGGCCCTCTTGGGCCTCGCTGAGGCTGTCTTGTGGGTCTCTTGGGCTGTCTTTGGGGCCTCATGGGCCGTCTTGGGCGGGTTCGTGGACCCCACAGGACGCCCGGGGCGGCCATGCCAACCGGTGGCACCACCCACCCCCGCCCCCGGGCCCCGTCCGTCTGTCCTACTGCTCCTCTCCAAACCCTCGTTCCCTAACCTCCCGATCATGTTCCCGGACCCCCGTCCCTTCCCCCCAGAGCACCGCAGCAGTAGGAAAGCGTTCCGAAATGGTGAGAAATCATGTTCCCGGAAAGCGTTCAAGAATATGAATCGTACTTCGTCCAAGGCGCCTCGGAAGGCGCAGAATACTCCTCCATGGCGCGGAATCATGTTCCCGGAGCGCCTTCCGGGAACATGATGGGGACGACCTCCTGAGGGCTCCAGTGGGCCTCTTGGGGGCCTCTCGGAGGCCTGTTGGGCTCTCCTGGAGGCGTCTTGGGGCGCGCTCAGGGCCATTTTTTTACATCTTGGGGGCCTCTTGGGGGCCTCCAGGGAGGCTCTTGGGGCCTCTTTGGGGCCTGTTTGGGGCCTCGCGGGGCCCTCTTGGGGCCCGCTGGGCTCGCTTAGGAAGTATTGAAGCCCTGTCGGGGCACTCCTGGAACCA